AAATTCTAATTTTTTTCATCTTACTTCCCATAATTTGGATTGTTGTACTTACTCCAATGTTCCATATTCGATGCGAAACTGAAAAGGTATTGGTTTTACTAAGATGTGTTTTTTTTTTTTTTTTTTTTTGTGTCTGNGAGAAGGTATTAATTTTAACTATGATGTGTTTATTTTATTATTTTTTTTTTTGTGCCTGTTGCCACTTTTTCTCAGCTCTCACCGAACCGATTTCTTTCAATGATACGTCAAAAGATCACAAATCGTATCTAGTCAAAGACATTACCCTCAAAAATTGAAAAAAATTCCCTTGTTCCCCGTAAATGGGGGAAACCTCCAAAAAAAATTACAAATTTAAAAATCTCTTATTTTCGAAATTTTTTCAATTTTTTTTACTTAAAATTGTAATAACTTTTTTAAAAATAACCAAATCAATATAATGTTTTTTTATATAGATGCATGATATCATTACCTTTCATTTGGTATATTTTTTTTTTATATCTGATGCTTTACCTGCCCACAGGGGGGGATTTAAAATGACAACTTTTTCACAAAAGATTAATTTTTTCAACTTGACTTTTAAAAATGTTCCGGAAAGTCTGACACTTTTATATAGATCTTAAATTAAAGCTAATGTAATGTACTTTATTATGGAAAAAAAAAATTTCTGGCTTTATTTTATCTTCACGGTGAAAATGGCTATCAAATGCTATTTTTGTATGAAAATTTTCGATTTTGTATTTTACATTTTTAACTTTATTATGCTATAACTTTTTGAAAAATGTATGGATCAATACAATTTTTTTATGAGAAGTAGTATTTATATACATCTTTCATTCGACATACTGTTTTTTTAAATCAGATCATTTCCCTATATACGAGGGGGGTTCAAATCTAAAAAATGCATGTAGAAAGTAGAACTTTTTAAACTTAACTTTTGAAAGTTTTCCGGAAAGTCTGACACTTTTATATATATCTTAAATTAAAGCTAATGTAATATACTTTATTATGTAAAAAAAAAATTTTGGACTTTATTTTGTCTTCACGGTGAAAATGGCTACCAAATGCTATTATTGTGTGAAAATTCTCGATTTTATTTTTTACATTTTTAACATTATAATGCTATAACTTATTGAAAAGTGTATAGATCAACATAATTTTTCTATGAGAAATACTATTTTTTAATAATCCCTTTTTCATTCGAAATACTTTATCTTATCACTATCTAAAGATTTGCATCGAAGCGTTTTTTTTTTATAGTGATTTTAATCACTGTCAGATATCATTATATTTGATCTAACTATGCCACGTCACCACTGTGCCGCGACCCCCCTGTGATGGGTTTTTTTTTATTTTTAATGTACTCTTTATTTGATTTTTTGTGTCTTATGTGGTTAGGTTTATATAAGTTTTTTTGTTACTAAGTTGGCTTTTTTATTGCCTTCAATCTTAATGTGGCTTAGTATCTAAATAAATTTATTTTTATTATTTTCTGTTAAAATTCTCAAATTGAATATTGAATATTTTTTACAGTATCTGTTGTTTTTATTGTATTTTTTAATTTATTAGTGTGCTTAATGAGTGAGAAAATCAAATTATTAGCATGGTCGTTTGTCTCTGTGTTTTGTACAACAAATATAGTATTGCTTTTGCTACAACTATTTATATATATAAAACAATTGTTATTAGTTTTATATTTTTCTACAATACCATTTTGTTGTCTAAGAAGTTAAAACCACTTTTTTTAGAACAATAGGTTAAATTATTTTCAGGAGTGTTTGTATTGTATGTAAGTTGTTACTTTTGTATCATATGTTGAAATTGTCTGCATATAAGTTTGCAGTTAGTGAATATCTTATAGTTTTGGTGATATCATTTATAGTCAGTAAAAATAAAGTTACTGATAGGGATAATCTCAGTGGAATTTCGTTTTTCCGTGAGAAGTTTTCCGATTATGGTATTTGATATTTTTACCTAAAATCATCTAGTTTCAAAAACTTTGAATGAGGTTTTATATATTTCCATTTAATATTATTTAAATTAATATTAATCTGTGCTTCCAAATTGAGGAGTCATATGCTTTATGTCAACTGACGTAATTGGAGCATATTTCATAATAGCTATTTCATACGAGTAAAATTGACTATTAATGTATTTGCCATTTCTTCTTCAAGTATAATTTTTATAATTATCATATTTTCTAATGTAGGATTTTTTCAGGAACTCTATTAAATTTTTGTTAAATTTTTTACAATATCTTCTGCTTTATCTAAAATATGTTTGGCTTTTTCTACAATATTTAAACTTTTTCTTAAAGGTATATTTTTAGTTTGTATTTGTTTAATTATTTTTGAACCAAAAAACAAAAATTTGTAGAAATGTAAGTTATGTTATTTTTTATGGTATCATCATTCTCCATAAACGTATTAGCTTTAAAAACTGCAACAACACATTCAGTATCAAGATTTGAAATAGATTACATGTTTTATTTTTCAAAATTTTTACAATAATATTGAAGTGCTTCCAGCTATGTCCAAAACCCTAATATAAGATTTGAATTGGATAAAACTATTTTTGGCACTAGTGAAAAACATAGATTTGTACCAGTTAATAATAGCACAAAAAGAAGCCTTAAGGTATCATTAACTGATATTTATGAGGACACAATATTGTAACTACTAGTATAAAACCAAAATTATTTATTAAAATATTTTACAATATTGTCATAATAATTTAATTAAATAATTTTTTATTTTGCAACTAAAATAATAAATTGAATAATTATATTGAGTCATAATGTAATACATATATAACAATATAAAAAACAATTACAAAAATGTGGTTAGAAAACAACAAAAAAGTATCATTAAATTATTTGATTTTGAGCAGCCTTTTACTGTTTTTCTAATGTTAAATTTTACATGTTACTCTTTTTTTTCAAACTTAAAATTTTTATGATGCAGAAACAGATATATTGACTAAAAAATTAAAAAGAATTTTTTTTTTTAATTATGTCTCCTAACAGAAATAATGCATCAAGACTATGAATATTTTTATAAAATTTTTAACTTTGTATGCTTCTAAATCCCAAGAAAATTATTTTGAATATTTGAAATTTAATTAAAACATAGATTATACAATACCACATTTGAAAATCACTATAAAATAATAATTTCTTAATGGTTTTAATTGAGCTCAAAAACGCCTATTTACACAGAAAAGACCCATTTTTAGAAAGTCATTGAATTATAGAATTTCACATAAATTTTTTTTTTTTTAATTTAAATTATGAATTATAATAAGGACAATTCTAAAATTTTAATTTGATTAAACTAATATTGAATAATCTATGTGTTTTTTTAACATTCTGGCTATTTTTAACATTTTTTACATTGAAATAGCCATACAAATGGGAATATCACATAAAAAATTAGCTTTAATCTAAATACAGCATAAAGAATAAATCCTGACAATTTAAGAAAAAAATTAGGTAGTCGTGTAACCACTTCTGGATGCATTGGTATGGTTGGACTCAAAGGGATTTTTTTTTGTGCATGTTTGTGCTACAATATATTAAAAGTTTTGAAAAGTCAAGTTAGCTTCTACTTTTTGTTGTAAAATTGACTAGAGAAGATAGAATAAGGAACGAGTATATAAGAAAGAGTACAGGGTGATTTTTTTATCATAACCCACTCAATTACTTGCAGAATAATAATAATTTAAACATTTTTTTTTTTCATTATCTTTAGTTACACATTATTCTTGAATTTTTAACTATGTAATACTTTTTAAGTTCATCCCTTATGCCTTGGAGGGGGGTCAACTTTGTTTTTTTAAATGGTAACACATATTTTTAATTTAATAAAATGTTTGAGTTTTTAATTTAATAGTAAATGGCATTTGAATTTTTAATATAACTTAATTCGTTTATTAGATATAATCATTTAAAGTTTCAAATTTTTGAATTAATATACAGGTATAATACACAAGGGATTACAAATACAGGTAGCTAATTGGTTTTTTATAACATCGATATTAGCAGGTACACAGCATTGTTATTATCAATTATAGTAAGGCACATTGTTATGAGTTTATAAATACACTATCAAACAATACAAAAAGTATATCTATTGATAATCATAATTGATAATAAACAATCCGTGACTGAGACAGCAATGTCATAAAAATCCAATTAGCTACCTGTATTTACAATCCCATGTGTATTATACATGTATATTAACTCAAAATTTTGAAACTTTAAATGTTTATATCTAATAAGCTAATAAAGTTATATTAAAAATTCAAATGCCATTTACTATTAAATTAAAAACTCAAACATTTTATTAAATTAAAAATATGTGTTACCATTTAAAAAAACAAAGTTGACCCCCCTCCAAGGCATAAGGGATGAACTTAAAAAGTATTACATAGTTAAAAATTCAAGAATAATGTGTAACTAAAGATAATAAAAAAAAAAAATGTTTAAATTATTATTATTCTGCAAGTAATTGAGTGGGTTATGATAAAAAAATCACCCTGTATAGGTGTAGCATCAGTCGTGGATAAGATAAGAGAAAATAGATGACTTAGATGGATTGGTCATGTTATATGAGGAGAGAAGAATCGGAAGCTGTAAGAACAGTTATAGAAATGAATGTTGAAGGAAGAAGAGGTAAAGGTAGACCAAAAAAGAGATGAAGGGATGCTATTGAATGCAATATGAAGACAGCTATATGTATAAGATTGTATCAAGTGGAAGTTTAGGATAAGGGTGGCCGACCCCATGTAGTTGGGATTAAGGTGAGGAAGAAGAAGAAGATTCTTTGTGTTAACCTTATATTTAATTTTTCCACATAACTTTCTTGTAAGTCTATAATAAGGATTTTACTTCTTCAAAAAATTTTTTAGTAATGTTGTTAATAATCAATTGTACTTTTATTTTCATATTTTGTGTTCTCTATCTAATTGAATAAAAATATTGAAATATTTATACTTAATTTTAGGTGGCGTTGTCAAAGTTTAATTGCTGGTATACCTATAAGAATTCCTCCTACACCTGACCTTTCTGAATGTCGATCAGTATGGTTATCAAGCCTTGAAGGAAGGCTTCATCAAGGAGATTCTATTATTAGTATTGCAAATGACCTCTCACAAGTATGCATTCTTAAATTGACAGTCTTAGAGCATTTAAACTCATAAATTCAATATATTTAGGTAACTGATAGCAAGCCATTATATGGAGGTGATATGATGACTACTACAAAAATGTTGAGAGACCTTGCTCAAAAAATGGAAAAAGATATGGTAACATTTCCTGACAAACAACAACAGGAAGCAATGGTTACTGATCTATTGCAATGTGTGGTACGAATTGGAAGTAATTTGCTAAATGTTTCTCAATATTCATCATGGAGAGATCTTGCTTTCAATGAACAAATGCGAGTTGCAACAAATTTATTGGTTGGACTAGAAGAAAATTCATTTTTGTTAGCTGATATTATGATGAAAGAAAAGACAATTACTCATAGTGTTAAAAATATCTGTATGTATTTCATCATAACTTAATTAATTTGAAATGAATAATTTAGTAAATATTGACAATTAAATGTTTCAGATCTTAGTGTAAGAGTTATCTCCACACAGAATGTGGATACTGAAGTTTTTCCTCCATTATATACGTCTAATAATGGAATTTTCATGAATAATACATGGTTACAACTGCAAAAATCTGCATTACTTGAAAATAGTGAAGCTGGTTTTATAAGATTAGTCTACATAGCATTTGATAGTCTGGAAAACATACTACAGCCTCAATCTTCTAATGGAATACGCATAATAAATAGTAAAATTATATCAGCTTCCTTAGGCAAAGGGAAACATATACAGTTACATCAACCAGTCACTCTTTGTTTTCAACATCTTCAAATTGATAATGTGAGCAATCCAACTTGTGTTTTTTGGGATTATACAGAAAAGTAAGTGTGATAAAACTAAGTAAACTATTATAACAATTTTGGGAATCAAATTTTTAAATTTCCAATTTTACTCCTAATTTAGCCTATATACACAAAAATCATTATTTTAGCATAACATTTTATTTTGTAATAGAATTTTCAGAGAAATTTCAAGTTGTTATTTATTTTTATTTTTGATAAATATTTAATAAGATATCATATAAAAACCCTTATACATTTCTAGATTTTTTAATTTTACTTTAAATTATTGGTTATTATTGAAATTTTTCTAATTAACAAAAACACATTAACCCCTTGTTTTATAATTTTGTGAAAATTAATAATAATTTTAATTAATAATCATAAATAATAATCATAGAATCATTCATTTTAAAAAATAAAAAAAAAAATTTAACTGCATTATATTTAAAACAATTATAATTGTTTATTATATATACAATATGTACATACATATAAAGATCATTAATTTTTTTTTATTATTTAATTTGTTTTACTATGTTATTTTTAGAAATAAATATACATTTATAAATTTTATTAACTTATCCCAAACACATAATCAGACAACACAAATTCGTATATATTATATAATTTGGTTGATAACTTATTAATGTGATCTAACTGAGGTTATAATATTGGTTTGATTAGGGATGTATATTCTCCCCTAAAAAATATAAATTTTCTACTTATTCTAATATTCTAACAACAAATTTATACAAATATGAGTTCTTTTAAATGGCTTAAACATAATATCTAATGCATATAAATTCATACTCTAGTCATTTGATAGTATTAGTCCATTAGCTGCTAATTAAAAAAAATTTTAAATAATAAATATAAAAATATTAGTTTCTAATAATAATAATTTTAGCATATAATAATAATAATATAAATTTCTAATAATATCTGTTGTTTCACGATACTATTTAAGATATTAACTCCTAAATCCAGAATTTCATTTTTATTTCATGTATAATTTTAATTTAATAAGATATTAATATTATCTACTTAATCCATACTTAATATCCTTTTAATAAAATTTGCCTGGTGTGGTTGTGTCTCAAAATAAATATTTCAAAGTTATCAATTAAGGATCTTATAAGATGGTAAAAATCATACAAGCAACTTTCTATCTTTTATTTATTATTTATAAAATTTGTTAATTTAACGAAATATTTTTTAGTGGGTGGTCAGAAGAAGGCTGTTCTGTTATTTATACAAATCAAACTCATACATTATGCCAGTGCAATCATTTAACAAATTTTGCTATTCTTATGGATTTAAAAAATTCTGGAGAAATGCCTATAACTTTTTCTACAAATAAATTGCTTTTATATGTCAGCTGTATATTTTCTGGAGTTTGTTTCCTATTAGCAGCAATTACTCTTCAGTTAACAGTAAAGGTAAATATTTTAAATAATTATTCAACTTAAATTTTATCTTATGGGAAGTTATATTTAATGTTCTTACTTTAATATTATTATTTACTTTTAAATATTTAATCTTTTTTATTTTACAGTCAAATCGTACAGTTATTTTGAAGAATTTATTTTTGTGTCTCTTCTTGGTTGAATGTTTTTTTCTTTTTGAGGTAACACAGGAAAGGACAGTATTTGTCTGCTCTGTAATAGCAGTTATACTACAAATATTGTTATTATGTTCATTTATGTGGACATTTATTGAAGGTAAAAAAATTATATAATTTTTTTTTATTTACATAAGTTTTTATCATATATTTATGTGTATGTGAATAAACAGAATATAAACATATCATATATTTTTTCTAGGATTCCATTTGTATGCTACATTAATTGAAGCATTTAATTCTGAAAAATTACAAATGCGTCTTTATTATTTAGTTGCTTATGGCATTCCATTAAGTATTGTTATTGCAGCTTGTTACTTGGATCCTTATGTTTATAACTCAAATAATTGCTTAAAGCCTAATAATATTATTGTGTACAGTATTATATTTATTGTCTCAGTAAGTAATTTTTTATTTATTAATGTAAATATTATATAATTTAATTTAATCAACCATTTTTCTACAGGTAAATCTAGTCCTTTTATGTCTATCTCTGTATATAATTAGAAGTAATTCTTCACTGATGTCTATTAAATGTAAAGAAAATGTCAAAATAACTTCTTTGAAGTATGTTTTATGAATTTTAATTTGATCTAAAATAAAATTGCCTTAAATAAAATATTAAATAATATTTCAATTGGATTGGTTTTTACAGAATGTGGCTTAGAAGTGCTATTTTGTTGTTAATTTTTATAATGTTGACGTGGACATTAGCTTTTTTTTACATAACATCATATTCCATTTTTATGCTGTATATATTTTCTGTTGTAAATTGTTCACAAGGACTTCTCATAGTATTATTATATTGTATAAAAAATAATTCAGTAAGTCAAAACTCTATATTAGCAATGATTTTGTGAAATTTAAATTAAAAAATTTTTTATTCCTAGTTTTAAATTTTCTTTACAACTATACAAGATAAATTAACATTTTGGTATAACTTATAGGTTTATAAAGTATTTTCTGAGTTAAATATGATTTCATTTTTACCATGGCAATGTTGTCTTATTAATTCTACTCAAGAAATGAATTTAAACTATAAAAATCAGAGAACCAGTCTGTATGGCACTTCTGTTGGCCCAAACAGTCAAGGAAGTATTGCAGAATGTTCTACACCAAGATCATTGTCTTCTCATAGGATGAATGTATGTAAAGTCTTTGTTTTTACTTAAAATAAATTATAAAGTTTAGATTATTTATTTTTGACATTAGTTCAAAAAATTAATTTCATATAATTAAAATAATTTTTTTTTTAATAATGTTAGACTTTTCATCATCCTGTTCACGAAAGACATACATTGGGTAGTAAAATCATAAACATACAAAATGAAATTGAAGTGCCAGATTTAGATAATACAATTCCTAAAAATGAACATCAAGCAGTAGTATGTGGAGGGACATTACCATACACTCGTTCTAGTCAAAAGACTTATTCACGTAATAAAATGCTGCCAAAAGCTGGTACAATGTTTGGTAGTCGTCTTCATAAACAATCTTTACAGGTATATGTCATCAAAAAAATTAATTTAAACAGTATTATTCAAACTCTATTCAACTATTTTTTGTAGAGTAAACCAAGCATACAAGATAAATGTTTTAGCTTGAAGCAACCAACTTATGTACATAATAATCATGGAGTGCCCAAAATTTGCTCTATTCGATGCAATACTTTAGGTGATGGTTTTATTGATAATAATTGTTCAACTAAAAAATACATTGGAGTTAGTGGTGTACGAGCCACTAGTCCTTGGAATCATACTTATTCTGAAATAATGGGTGGTATATCTGCTTCTGGTGGGGGATTAGAAGATCCAGTTTATGAAGAAATAGAGCGTGAAAGAGAAAGAGAGCGAGAGCAAGCAGCTCTTGTGTCTGATTTAAGTGATGAAGATGGCCGTAGAAATAGTGACATGAGTCGTCAATCATCAAGGAGTTACGGTGATCATAGACCACTTATAATGGCTCCCCCTCAAAGTCCAGACACCCAAGATTTCCATACTGCTCTTAATGCAGCTTTTAGACAACAACTTAAAGAACAAACTGCTAGAACAATTGCAGTGCTAGATGGTCAAACTGTTGTATGCCATTTGCAACCTGACCATAATGATTCCTATGCTCAGCAACAAACTGTACAACATTATTCTTATGAATGTTAATTGTTTGAATAACAATTGATTATTAAAATGTAATTAAGTGTAATTATACTTCTGTACATAATTTTTTTACTGCTGAACCTTGAGCATTTTTCTTTAAACATTTATTTTGTTTAAAATATGAGCCTATTACTCTAGTATAATTTAATCTCTGACAAGATTTTGATATTTATTATTTAATTTCTAATATCAATGAAAGAGCATTGTTAAGTATTTTTTTATAACTACTGTTGATAAATTATTTTCCTCTTTATTATTATTATAAAAGAAAGTAGATTCAGTTTTGTATTACTAAATTTTTATTTTTCAAGTTGTCTATATACTAAAGCCTCTGAACACTTGCCATTTACATTGTTTACTTATTATGACTAAAATGTTACATAATTTTGCAGATATGCTTACAATTATGATTTAAATTCTGTTTTAATAATTATTTTTTGAATAGAAAAAATAAATTATAAACTATTAAACATTGTCTAGTCTCATTAAAGCAATAAATTAATATAGTTAAAAAAAAATTCAAAATGAACCCGTAACTAATAATATTTCTAATTCAAATAATCTTTTTTAGTTCTTAATAATTTTTCATTTTTTTTCTTGTAAATGTTTTTTTTTTTTTAATAATGTTGATTCTAAAATAATTGATTTATGAATATGAAAAATTGACTTTCAGTTTTACTAAGTGAAAAATAATAACATACAATGTTTTCATTGTTTATGTAATCAATATACTTAATTATAATATTTATTTATATTCATATAATCAATAAAATAATCTCATTAGTGTCAGTTATTTACTAACATCTTTTTTTTTTAAACAAGTAATTTTTATATGCTTATTCTAGTAGTAAATCTTTTTCAAATAATTTTTAGAAAAATATTTCTTTTATAACAAATATATGTTTTTAGTTAAATGATAAAATGATCTTAATATTAATACTTTTTCTATAAATTTGAAAATCTTAAATTTGATTATTTTATTTACATTATTTAGCTAAATATTTTTAGCAAATGATATGGATCAAAATTTTTCTTATAAATTAGGATTTTTCATAAAAGTTTTTTTTCACTCTCCTGTTAAAATGAATTAATGCTTACATGATTCTCATTTTTTTTCTCGTCAATTAAAAAAGGTTAGCATTTTAAAAATAATTTTACTGTTTTACTAAAACAATATTTATTAAATTATTATAAAAATGTTCCTAAACACATTATCTTAATTTTCAAATGTATCGCATTTCAAGTATTAATAAAATTTATTCAAGTAATTTCTTGAGACTGATTTGAGAGTTGAGACTGGTTGTTCAGTTTTTATGCAATCAATTACATCGAACATTGCTTTGTATAATTATAATATTAATTTTCAATTTTAGTTTTTTTATAATTTAATGTTAATTTGAGTAATTGTAATTAATTTTTTTTAAAACTTGGTAGTTCACATTTGTCAAGAATCTAAATGTATTATGGTGCATCATGCAATAACATTTAAATTGTATTTATTTTTATTGTTACTTCAATTTAATGTAATTCTTATTTATTTTATTTAATGTACATAAAAGCTAAAAATCAAAATTATTATTAATTAACTGTTGTAACACTCTTTAAAATACTTTTATGTAAATTACATATTCAAATTTACTACTTATTTTTCACTTGTACACAACACCATGTTTCAAATAAGTACATAAATACTATCAACTACTATTTAATGAACAAAATTATTCAATTATCAAAAATAATTATTCCCGTGTTTTTGATATTTAAAATTAAATTCTTAAACAGAAATTAATTTAATTCTAATTTGATTGTCTTATTTAAATGTGTCGTATATTTGTAGCTGTTAATTGTTAACTTAAAAAAAAATTTTTGTTCTTTTTAAAGTTAATTTTATTATCAGAGCTGAAAAGAGGTGATTAATTTTTTTGAATTTTATGAAACAGTTTTCCTATTTTTTTATAATTTGATGCAATTTTTGGAAATTTTTATACCTAAACTTAACAGTTGGCATAATATTCTATGTATATTTATTGTAGATTTATGTATAAAATTTATAGAAATTAATTATAGATATAAAATAAAATAGATATATTTACATGATTTTATGTATGCTGTGATCATATACATTAGTATTATATTTAAAAAATGTACAATAAATGAAAAATTGATTAGATCATTTTGTGTAATGTTAGTAATTTTTATATTACTAGTTACAAAGAATATGTATTAATATGCTTTTGTAACATTGTCTACAAGAAGATTCACGTACCAAAAAATAATAATAATATTGATAACATTTTATTTGGTTTATTTTAGGTACACGTTTTTCTCAACTTATCAATTATAAAGTATTTTTCATGTTTATCCCTTGTACATAACTAACATACATTTAATTAAAATTGTATAATTAATAGATAATGATCTAAATTAAAAATGAATGTTCGATAACAACTTTAGGACAAGTATTTCTGACATTATTGTCATTTATTTTTATATCTAAGTGGGAGGAAGAGTGCAACATGGAAATGACTAGAGATAAAAATAATAATACCCGCATCTTGCTTCCAGCTAATCTTATGAAATATTAATAACTTCTAAAATACTTGTCCAAAAGTTGTTACTGATTAGTCACTTTTTTAATTACATAATTATTTAATAAAAAAATCAGTTATGTATGTTGTCATTTGAAATAATAAAGTTCAAACCCTTATAAAGGATAAATATAAAAAATTCTTCATAATTGATAAAACGTGTACCTAGAAGAAACTAAATAAAAAATGCATTATATTAGTTAATTTTTTTTTGATTAATGAAGTGAAGAGTCGAGCGCGGACGCCCTATCACGCTTACATAAATTTTTTCTTAATAAACCATACATTAATATAATAGTTTAAATTTAGTATCAAATAAAAGATAAAAGATTGGGCTACAAACTCATCGTAAAATCAACCAACAGTTTTGGGGCTGGGGGCCTCTAGTTAAGAATTTTCTTACATTTTAATTAATATATAACATACACAATGCATAACAATATTACCTCACCAACCACTTCGCTAGCTCATAAATTAGATAATCCTAAACCGATAACGCCGATCAGTATAATAAACCGAAATTCAATTTTACAAACTTCTAAATTGATAAATAACACATTTTTTTTATCTGATAATGAAAATGAAATCTACTGGTCAACTATCATCTCAAATAGTAAAGATAGAAGGAAAAAAAATTCATCACCCGGCTCGTCTCCAAAAGCAAAACAACCTAAACTCGGTCGTTTTTCTACTTTAAACTCCGATATCCATGATTACAACGACATGGAAACTGAGCAAATAATTGATTCACAAGAACCAAAAATATCAACCCCCCCACCTATTTTTTTAACATCAGATCTCAATTACATAGGCTTTTGTGAAGCTATCCAAAAAACTATATACTCAAATGCATTTAGTAGTAAAGATAGCATTAAAGGATTAAGATTGCAAACCAATACACCGGATGATTATAGAAAAATTGTACGCTTATTTAAAGAAAAAAGTGTGGACTTTTACACATATGAAATACAACAAGATAAACCTTTTAGCATCGTTTTTCGTAATTTGCATCATACCACTCCAGTAGATTATATAAAACAAGAACTGGCAATTCATGGTTATAACGCTTTACAAGTAGTAAATGTATTTTAAAGTAGAACCAAAATACCACTAACTCCTTTTTTTGTCGATTTAAAAGCAAACCAACAAAATTCCGAAATTTTTAAATTAAATTCGATTTGTCAAACTAAAATAAAAGTAGAGGAACCCCATCCTCGTCGCCACTTAGTACAATGTGTAAGATGTCAAGATTTTGGTCACAGAAAAAATTTCTGCAACCATCAATTACGTTGTGTTAAATGTGGAGAAACACATTTGACTCAAAATTGTACAAAAACACCTGATCAACCACATGCATTATGTCAAGGACAAAATCCTTCGAGTTACTGAGGTTGTACAGTCTACAAGGATCTCTCGAAAAAACAGAAATCAACCACTTACAAAAATACTCAAGAACCGAAAACACAAAGTCCTAATTCAAATATTGCAAATGAGCCTTTAGGTCACACCTCACAACAAACGTTTTCAAATACACAATATCAAACAAGGGTTTTGTCATGCTGGAAATTCATTCCGAATATCCGTGCTTCAGTAGGTATTCATGGAATAAAACTATATAGAACGAGAGAGCATATTGAGAACCACTTATAACAATATTTTCCGGATTTCTACGGTCCGGCGTTCTACATTCCGAATTTTAGAAGACCGGTAATCTACGGTCAGGCATCTTGTATTCCGTATTTATACGGTCCGGGATTTTACGATCCTGAATTTTACAGTCCGGATTTTAAAGTTTCCGTAATTATACAGTTCCAGTAATATACGTTCCGGAGATATTTTTTCCGGATAATTCATGTTCCGCCCATTTTTTTTTCCGCATAAATACGGCCTCCCTTGCTTCAGGGCGGCCCACGCCGTCTAAAATTCACACCACCACGTTGTGAATCAGCCCGAAATTAATCAAGAGCTGATTCACAACGTGGTGTGGCCTCCCCCGTTAGCTGGATCCCAAAAGGCGGGATCCGTTGCCCGGGTTGCACCGCGTGGAGGTGGGGGCAGGACTTTGCGAGGGATGGCATACATAATAATTCACAAAACACAAATCACACAAATAGAGTGAGGAGGACAGGAGATACTTTATAAAGGCGTCTCCGGCCCTCCCACCTTCTTGGGACAGTCTCTTGACCGGTGGCCCTCCCCTTTGCAAGTGAAGCACGCGCCAGTCCGGTCCGGACCGCTACAGGCCGTTTGCACGTGACCCCTTTCGAGGCACCTGTAGCAGCGCGGACCCTTGTCCTTTGGGACCCGGATCCGGCACGTGCTCCAACTCACTCTTAGTCTTGTCAGTCCGACTAGCGGGTGCGAGGCCCTGATGGGAACCTCGCACCACGCGAAGCGGCCCTTGCCGCTCCCGTGAAGTCGGACTGAGACCGAACCGACGGGTGCCGTCGCTCAATCTTTTGAGAGGATAGTGGTCAACGCCCCTACGACGTCCTCTTCCACATCGAGCAGCATGAACGCCACGGACATCGATGGGCAATGTACGCGGACGTCCATGCCGTCCAACGCCTCTTTAATCTTAGCGGCTAACAAGTCGGCCTGGGCCCGGGTACCCCGAACCTCCAGAAGTACCGCTCCTGACTTAGTTCTCCGGGTACCAGAGACCACAACGCCCAGCTTCTGGAGTCCACGTTGGACATGACCTTCTTGATTGAGTCAGAATAACGTTGGCCCTCTTTGAGAGGTCCAATGATAATAGCCTCGGTTTTCGGTGCCTTCGCCCTGATCATTCGGCATCCCGAAGACCCTTCCCCATGATCTCCATTATGGGGACCGCCTTGTGGCGAGTCAGCAATTCCCTGCCGACGAGCTTCGACACTTTGATGGCGCGATCCGTCGTGCTCTCGCTTCGGAGGGAAGAGATGCATCTTGCCATAAGGGACAGCCTCTCCCCTTCATCCTCCACCCCTTGAAACGGATCATACGTCTCCTTTTTCTCCAGGGCGTACTTTCCCCCATCCTCCAAGTCATTCGCCATCATTCCCAGGATGGTGGCAACAGAACTCTGGAAGTTCTCCAGGGACTGAAACTTCCCGTACGGGAGGCAATGCTCAACAGCATTTTGGCCCATCAGTTTGCCTTGGAGTTCCTTCCAGCGCGTGAATTCGGACATCGTGAGAGGAATATCGTTGCAAAAACGATCCCTAATGCCTATCCAACTCACCACCATTTCTTCGGTAATAATTACTACACTATCACCAGCAGTAACCTCGGTGGCTCTAGAGCCACCGGAGGATGCCTGCTCCCCACATCCTCCAGCAGTAACTTGGGCGCGAACGCCCCCTGGACCCTGCCTCAACAGTCCAACGGTTTCGATGCAGTCGCTGGATAACGACCGGGTCGAGCCTGCAACTACACTCTTCCCAGCCGGCCCTGGAGTCTCCGAAACTCCTGGAACGGTAACTGTATTTTTGTGATGGTGTCCTTCCATATTTGGTTTTACGGGTGTCCTTCCCTGCGTTTTACCTGCCGCCAGGGGATTTGTTTTCGGTGTTACCTTCACCTAGGTGGTCGCCTTACCAGGCTATCGGGCCCACCTGCCCGTTTCCCTCGAACGCTACCGCTTATTCGTCCACTCTAGGAGTGGCTTATATCACGGCTACCCTGCATATCTGCAGGGTTAACGAGCGATCGAGGGGCTCGCTGTCCGCGACCGCTTATTCGTCAGTCCAAATGGATGGACTGCTTATTTCGCGGCTAGCCTGCATATCTGCAGGCCGTTCCTCTATCCGCAACCTGAGGACGCGCCCGATTACCCGAGCTAGGGAAACTGCGCCCGTGCCGACGTTTCGTAGCCCCGTGGAGCTCGATCACGCCGACACTGTAGCGCAGCGCAACGGGATATCATGCCAACCTTATTGACTAAAAAATGGCGAGTAAAAATCAACGAAGATAAATCTGCTCAAATTACCTTCACTCTAAATTTCAAACCACAAGAATGTCCTCAAATTATTATGAATAATATTCCTATACCAATAAAAGAAAAGATCAAGTATTTAGAAATTACGCTTGACAAACGACTGACGTGGGGCCCTCATCTAAAAGAAAAAAGAAAAAGTACAAGAAACAGACTACATCTTCTACGTCCTCTCCTCATTTCAAAACTTCAACTTAAAACAAAACTATTATACGCTCAGTTTGGTCTTATGGTATCCAAATCTGGGGTCCAGCCAAACCATCGAACATAAAGCCAATGCAATCGTTTCAATCAATAGCACTCAGACTTATAACTAAATTTCCATGGTATATAACAAACATGAATTTACATAATGTTCTACAAATTCAAAAAGTGAACAAACTTGCAGTAATATACTACAAGCGATTTCATCAAAATTGATTAACACATAGAAACCCTCTAATTAATAAAATGTCAACAAACACTCTACCCTCAAATCCTCCTCACAGACTAAAACGGCTATGGAATAGAGATCTTCTAAATAACTAATAAATAACTACTATTAGTAACTAAAAAAATAAATATAGTTTAAAAAAACTAAAAAAACACGCTTTTAAAGCGTATCGAACT